TGATAGTTTAGCTGGAATTAATATTTCAGTTCATATTAATATTGGGTTGATAGTTTAGCTGGAATTAATATTTCAGTTCATATTAATATTGGGTTGATAGTTTAGCTGGAATTAATATTTCAGTTCAATTATTGCTTTTTTGAAGAAGCAATGCTCTTTTATAAATGCATAAGAATTCAGTGGTACATAAATAAGGCTGTTATACACTTTATACTCTTCAGTTATTGTTGGTCCATCCTCTTGAGCTGGAATGTGAGAGTTGTCCTTACCTATATGCTGACGGGTGGAGGATTTATTTGGTGCAACCTTGCAGGAAGAGCTGTGTTTGATTGCTTTGATTATTTAAAGCTTTCATTTGATTGCTTTAACTATGCTGGCTCTGTTTCTAGTGGATAAACTTATTAAGGTTGATTAGTTTTATTTCTATAATCTATTTGGGTGTAATATTAATGCCTTTAATTGTGGTGCAGGAAGTGGCATATGCATATTGCAGTTTGGCAGTGAAGTATTAATTATAAATAACATTTATGAATACTTTATGAAAGTTGAACTCATTTTATTTTTCGTCTATCTATACACGCAGTTAGCCTTTTTTGCTACGAGAGAAGTCGAAGCTTTGGAAGAGCTTACATGGGTGAGTAGCTTCAAGTTAACACGTTGTTATATGTGGTATTTTATTATTTATTCATAAAAATTTATGTAAAAGTGAAATACACCTTTTCATGCATAAATTTAAAACACCAAAGTGCTATTTTTGTAAATATGAAAGTTTATATGTGAGATATATAAATACATAAGAATTGTGTGCCAAGTGCGTAAGTTCCCCTTATATATTTTGATATTTATTTTTTTCAAAAATCTTGAATGCAGGCGCATCATCGAACGAGCTAAAACATATAGTTTGGTTTGGAATAGGAATATGGTGCAGGCCGGTTGTTGACCGGCGAGGTGAAGAAGCGTCTTATTGAAGTTCTTTCAAAGATAGTTGAGAGACATCAAAAAGCTCGTGCTTCAGTGACAGACGAGGTATTTTATCTTTATATATATATATATTATTGTTAATATTTTTATGCTTTTTGTATACTAAAAGGTTTATGTCATCTATATATGGTAATTGTTACTTCTTTCATAGATGATATTTTCAACTTTATTTTTCGAGCTAATGATTTTCATCTTGTATATAGATGGTGGATGCATTCATGGCTGTGAGGCCTCTTCCTCACATGTTCAGCTAAAGATGGTTTCACTTTGAATTACCCCTCACTCAATTTGCTGTGTGAAATAAGGGAGCAGATCAGCAGATGTGCAATGATTTTTTAGGCATTCATATTTAAATTTTATGTATCACTCACTTTGAATTACCCCTCACTGGTACTGTTTGTTTGGACTAATGTACACTTTGTGCCCTTCCCCATATATTGTTCTGTTTATGTAACTACAATTGTTATTTATTTACAGCCATACAACACATTTCTCATGCACAGATTTTTAATACAAGGGTGGTTATGGATGCAGAATATTTATGAATGCAGAATATTGAAA